CAAGGTCTCAAATTGGTCCCATAGTTCCAGTAGGGGCCTGGGGGTCGGCGCCTGGGGCCCAGTGGGAGCATAGAGTCCTGCCTTTCAGCCAGAGAAGTGCTGCTTAGATCTGCATTTTATATTAGGGCCTGGGCAAGATTAAAAAAATCCATTAGCTCTCTATTGATTTTGTTTTTCTGATTACAAAAGAAAATCCAACAGCACATTTGTAGGATGCAGAAAGCACAGAAGCTCCCTGTCCCACCTTGCCCTACCTCTCAAGGGTGATCACCTCGAGGCCTGGCTCACCAGGCTGCTATTGTAAACACAGTTATTCTGAAGCAGCGTCTTGATTCCCTCTGTCGTCATGCAACTGTGCCTTACACTGTCGAATAGCTGCAGAATGTTCCGTGGCATGGATGTGCTATGTTTTACTTGAATATTTCCTTATTGATAAACACTTAGGCCATTTCCAATTTCTTTCTTACTCTTACTGGCAATGCTGCTGTGAGCATCCTTGAATATTTTTATGTGTGTACTTGGACTGTTTTTCTTTTCTTCTCTTTTTCTGTAGAAGAGGCTTCTAGAAATGGGATTACTAGGTTGTAGGGTATGTGGGTTTAAAATGTTAATCAATATTGCCAAATTACCCTTGCAGTGGTTGAGCCAACTCCCCTCCCTTCAATGGTCTATGAGTGTTCATTTCCCGTCATCCTTGCCAGCACTGCTTGTTATAAATCATTTTAATTTTTCCCAATCTGATGGGCAAAAAATGGTATCGTGTCGTTTTCATTTGCATTTGCCTGATTGCTAGTGAGATAGAACATCTTTTCATACGTTTATTGGCCAATTTAGTTCTTCCTCTGTGGATTTCTAATTCACTCCCAATTTTTTCTCTTTTGTCTTTTTTCTTATTGATTTGTGGGGGCTCTTTGCATATTAGTGGTATTCTCTTGCAGTGACTTACTTGCATTTTCACATTGTTTATAGTGTCTTCTGCTGAACAGAAGTTTTACATGTTTATGTAGTTAGATTTGTCAAATTTTCACTTTACAGCCTCTGGATTTAATGTTTGGCATAGGAAGGCTTCTCCTCCCTGCACAAAGTCTCATTTCAAATACGAGTTTTATTGCTGAAAAGTCTTCTCAAAGCTGTGGTTGCAGGCTCCTTCCCAGCTGTCTGCTCCTCTCGGCAGCTGCGGAACCGTCTCTGGTGGGTGTGGGGGGCAGTGGCCCCATCTGCCCACCCTCCAGCTCTGTCCTTCCTTATGTCCATTGGATGCTCAGCTCCACCGCTCTCCTGTCTCTCCTGGGGTCTGGCCCCAACTATTTTCCCATTAGGCATCAGTAACTAGGAATGCCCCGGTGGTGTGGGGACAGGATGCCAGCTGTCAGGGAGTGTGTCGCCCTCGCCTTCTGCCTGCCAGTCTGTGCTCAAGTCATGTGGACTGACAAATAGGCTTTGTCCCTTGTCTCTGAAGAATGCTATTCTTTCTGGAGGGCAGGCTCTGAGCCATTCCTACTTCTGCCTCCTCCAGGAAGTCTTCTAGGATCTCCTTCCTCTTTTCCATGTTCTTGGACCAGGCCCCACCTTCTCTCCCTGATGCTCTTTCATGCTCTTGCCTTCTCAGTACAGGGTTTCTTGTAGTCCAGATGCCACTTCTCAGGTCTTAGTCCCCACCCATGTAACACAGGCCCAGGGAGGCTATGCCCGCTGCTGGGAGACAGAGCCCATGCGGGATACCATGGAGCTGCTAGGTCTTCCAAGCTAGGAATCTCAAGGAAAGTACCTTGTTCTACACAAGGAGCTCAACGCTTATGGCCTGTCACTCCTGTCACTCCTGCCAAGCGCGTCATGCTCCTACAGTGTCTATTCCATTCCTTACACATCTCTGTGCCCCTGGGAACCTTGCACTTGCCGGGTGTTATGTTGGGCCTGAGGTCTGAAGAGAACCAAGTGTCCAGCTGCTTGTCCATTGGTGGAACTCAAGTCTCCGTTTCTTTGTCAGCAGCGTGCACTTCCACCCCCCCAGATAGGATAGATACAGTACTCAGAGAATGAAATGCGGCACCTTGCAGATCGTAGCTTACCATGACTATAACAAAACACCCAAAATAAACAACGTATAGAGTAAAGGTTTATTTTGGCTCACCATTTTAGAGGTTCTGGCCCATGATTGGTTGGCTCCATTACTTCAGGTCTGTAATGAGGTAGCACATGGAGGTAGAAGAATGTGCAGAGCCCAGCCCTTATTCAGAAGAGGGTGGGGCCTCCATCTCCAATGAAAGCACACCCCCATTGACCTAAGCACCAAATTTCAGCCTGCTCCTAGTAATGCCTCCCTGGGGACCATGCCCTTAATACAAGGGCCTGTGGGAGGCATGCAGGCTCCCAGCTATAGCAAGATGCTAGAGGAAATAGTCCCCAACAGCCTCCTGGAAATGAGGCCTTACTGGGCTGTAGAGGGCAGAGTGAGTCAGGGGAACCAGGAGGTCTCTGAAGCATGGTGTAAGTGTATAGCCTAAAACCCGAGGCCGCCATTCCTGACTCGTGGCCACCATCCCATACTCATGGCCGCCGTTCCTGGCTCACGGGTGCTGGATTTCTGTCTAGATATCTTCCCTCCAATCCTGATGGGTCATCTGTGTCCGTCTCTACCCTTTGCGTCCATCTTGGTCACCAGGCTCAGAGTGGGCACAGAAGAAGTGTGGATGAGAGAGAAGATGAATGAATTGGAGGCAGTGTGTGGTAAGAGGGTCAGGCCTGGGGAAGAAGGGACTGGCTTGGCTTTGGCTTGAGGGCTGACTGGCTAGGGAGATGCCAGCCCTTGTGGATGTCAGTCTCCAGTCTGTATGATGAGACTAAGCCTCTTAGACTCCGATTCTGTGCCGTGTCTCCCAGAACAGGAATATAACTTCTGTGACACGCTGTTTGCCTGCAGTGTTCACCCTCTTCTCCCAGTGCTGAAGCCCCTTTGGCAGCATCCTCCAGTTGCTGCCAATCAGGCACTGGATTTTCAAGGCTCTATATGCCCTGCTGAGGGGCAAGGGGCCAGCAGGGAAGGTTGGAAGGAAGCCCTGCCCCTGCTCTGGTCCTTTGGTCCTCCTTCTTACATCCTTCCTGGAACTCAGCACATGGGCAGGCCTCATGTCCAGGAGAGTGCTGGCTCCCACTGCAGCTCCTCCATGCCCCAAATCATTGTCATGCTCTGCCTGTGGTCCCATTTCCATAGCAACTTCTTGTGATGCCTCAGAGGAGAGCAGGAGCATCAAAAAGGGTTGGGGGAAGGGAGCTGGAGACCCATTCATTGTCTGGGAGCATGGCGTGAGAAGCACTCATGGGGATGGCTTGGCCTGTCGGCTCAGGTAGAGCTGGGCCCAGGGCCGCCAGCCAGGTGGTCTGGAGGCCTGCCAGGGACACGGCTGCCCATGTTGGCCTGGGCCTGGCTGGCTCATGCCAGCCTACTGGGAGCCAGCTTGGGCAGCCATTGAGGGCACTCCTGCCTGGCTGGACCTGACTTTGGGGACCCAGACATGATGAGTCATCTAGGCTCTGGCTACCCACCTGTGTCAAGCTGTCACCACTGTGCTCCGTCTTGATCTTCAGGATCTTTGGCCATTGGGAGACACTGTCAGTGCCATCTGAACTGGGTAGAGTTTAGGGATGGAGGGATGGAGGGCCAGTGGGCCCTTTCTTGTCTGGTCCTTTTGCTATAGACAGGATCCTGCTTGGCACCTACTTCTCTGCCTCCTTCTAGGAGGGAGGCTCTGCAGCCCAGAAGTAAGAAGACTACACCTTCCAGGCCCCACCCTCTCACCTGCAGCATGGCTAGAAATTTCACTGACACCATCGATTGCTAGAACATGAACTCTGGGGGGACTCTGAGCCTTTGCTGTCCTCTTTGCATCAACCACATTGGAGCCCCATTGACCCATCCTTCCATTCATCTGATCTTAGAGGTCTGTGAGAGGCTCTGGGGATCAGGCCAGTGCTGGATGGTCCCCCATGGAAAAACCAGAGAACTCAGGGCCTGGTCCCAGGAAGGGTGGGTGAAGGCTGCTGGGACAGAGGCAGGTTTTCTAGGCACCTCACACCTTCATTTTTTCCCATGATATTTGCCTTTCGTGGACTACTATTTGAAGGTGGGTTATCACGGTGCTCCCAGAGTTACACATCTGTGAAATCATGCCTGTGATGTGCCTGTCATGTTTTTCCCTAGTACACAGAAAAAGAAACACAAACTAATGGAAGTAAAACTGTTTGCATACTGTCTAAATCCCCGCATGCAACCTAGAGGCGTGTATCTCACACTCTGAGAAACACAGGTCTGATTGAGACCTCTTGGCGATGGCTCAGAAAGGGATTGAGGGTTTTGAGAGGATGAAGAAACTGAGGTAGAGAAAAAAAACTCTGCTCAGGGCCACAGGGTCATGAAAGGGGGTGGAGCTGGGAGCATATGCCTTTTCCTGGCCTCCCAGTAACATCGTGTACTACAGGACTCAGACTGGACACCCTAGAATCTTTCTTGCTCCTGTCTGGGGAGCCTTTGGAAAAGCTTGAAAAGGGAGCAAGACAGGGAATGGCAGGGATCTTTGGGGATAGGTAATGTGGGGCTCAGGCCCTGGGAGAGGAATTCTGCGCTCTGTTAACTGCAGGCCCCATGTTCCTGCTAGTCTCTTGCAGTCTGGGCAGAAAGAGGAAACCCTTATTTCATGAATAAGAGAAGTGAGGCATGGGGACTTGACTGCCCCAAGATCACAGGTCCAGTTGTGGGGACAAGCAGCCAGAAACCCAAGTTCCCAGAGCCTCACTGCTCCAGCTGGTGGCATAAGCATGCAAGTGCACATATGCCATTAAGTAGAAAGCATGTGCGTGTACGTGTGTGCGTGTGTGTCTCACGCGCGTGTGTGGTGTGCATAGCGTTAATTGCCCAGCTGGTAGACTTAGACCCTTTTGCATATTTCCTGCTCATACCACCCTGCCTGCCCTGTCTGACAGCCACTTCCTCTTTCTCCCCACAGCCTCCTGTATCCACTGGCCCTCAGCTACTGGTTTTATGAGCATAAAGTCCAACTGAGCCAGACCCAGGCTGACCCCAGCCAGCTGCACGAAACACTGCCTCGTCACAGGTAAGAGGCCATTTGTGGGTTAGTGGGGCTTTGGGGGGGCTGTCTCAGGTCCCTCTTTCAACACGCTTCCATCTGTCCCTCTCCTCTGAAATCAAATCCCAGTAGCCCTTGCTGTGGCCAGTCCTGGTCCACGGCCAGCTCAGAAGCCTGGGGCCCTTGTCCCAACCACATGGTTTCACAGGCAGTGCTGGCTAATAGGTTCCCGTTTGGCATGGGGCGTGGGTCTCTAAAGGCGAGCCGACACACTCTGCCCTTAGTCCTGTCACATTGTTGACCAAATGTATGTTTGACTCCAGGTCAGGAGGGAGTGGGAATGTGTGGACAGAGATAGTCAGTGTCCAAGAAACTGTCAAGAGGCCAGCCTCGGCTCTGATGTGTCGAGTTAATGGGGCTCCACAGCCGACATTTGGGTCCAGACACCTCCAGGGCAGGACAAGGCTCATATCCTAGGTGTATGCATTTGTGACAAGGACTGTCAGCTAGCTGACCTTGGCTTTGTGTGAACAGAGCAGATGGCCTTTTGATCTGTATCCCAAGGAGCAGGGCACCCACAGTATGGGAGGTGACAGGCCCTCCCATTCCATGTCCCATGCGAGGGAATGTGTGGAAACTATGATATTACTGAGATGGGAGGGGGTGGGAGGGACAGGAAAGGGACCTGGGATGCTGCTTGACTTGAACATAGGGCTTAACTGTGACAGATAAGTCACCTTACTCCTGTGTCTGAGACAATGAGAAGGCTACAGCTGTACTTTGCGAAGTAGGAATGGTGGTACAGGCTAGACCGTATTGTCCTCCTTTCCAGACTCAGTGCGACTGTGTGCTCAGAAGACCCCCTGTTGGGCCTGGGGGACAGTTATGTGTGTGATTTGGCAGGGAACACATCCCACTTTCCTCTCCCTGACACCAGGTGTCACTCTGAAGTCAGTCCTGATAATTGGTCACCTGTGTTAGTAACCAGGTGAATGGGCAAGAGGCTGCGGCCAGGATTCTCTGTGGTTCCCGGATGGTGAGGCGTACTGTTCTGGGTTCTGCCTTATCCTGGGCAGGAGGCTACCACAGTTACCCCGCTCCCACCCTGTGGGTAGCAGCACTGACAGGTCTAACATGGGATCACTCCAGGAAGTTCAGGGCAGGGGCCAGCCTGGCTCAGCTGGTGGCTGGCAGGGCTGGTTGAAGGAGATGATTCCAGGCCAAGGCTGGAAACCTGTAGGGTCCTTTAAAAACATCTATTTTCCTGGTTATAAAATGTAATGTGTGCTCTCAGTAGAAACATGAAAGCACTTGGGTGTTTTGCCCGTCAGTCTTTTACAAAATATGTATTTATGACATAATTGGGATCAAGCTGTACTTACTGGTTTCTAACCTGCCTTTTGCACTTAATACTACACCAAGATCATTTTCCCATCATTAAATACTCTTCTATAATGTGATTTTTAATGGCAGCATAATGTTCCAGCCTGTGTTGCTGTGTCCCATTTAACTAGTTCTCTGTTGTGTATTTTGATGGTTTCCAGTGTGTTGTCACTATAATAAAGCCTTGGTGAACAAAACAGTGCACGGAGGGTGATGACGGCAGGAAAAGGCTGAAGCAGCGGAGGGCAGCCAAGCAGTGGTGGAGGCTGGGCACTGGCCTTGCGTTTGGGCCTGGGCTGCTGGGAAGGGGGCTGGTGCCAGACGGGGAGAGTTTGTGCCACTGTGCTTAGGGGCAGGCACCTGGCTTAGTGAACCCCTGGAATCCCAAAGAAACCCAGACTTTTCCTTTCTCTCCCCTGCCTTCTTGTCGCTTCTTGAGGTGCTCCTGTGTTTGGGAAGGGGCAGGCCAGCAGGTTGGAGGAAGTGCAGGCAAAGCTAGGTCCCAGGCGAGAAGCCTCATGTATCTCAGTACAGTGGGACCTGTGGGGTTTCCACGGAGCCCCTATGTACTTAGGGGAGCCCTGTCCAGTTCTCCTCCTCTCAGAGAGCATGCGTTTCCTGGCTCTTGCTTGAATGAACATGACTGTTCAGATGGGCCTTTCCTCATCGTCTCAGGGCTTGTGGCTCATGATGGGGACCCAGAAGAACCAGGAACGGCTTCCCTGACACCTGGGAGATGCTGTTGGGCTTGTCCCTGCTCCCATGAAGGCTGGGATTGCCCATGGGTATGTGTGTATGTGGCTTCTCAGGACAAGATGTCTCCAGAGTCACACATTTATCCTCACATGGTATATTCTGGGTGGTCCTTGTTTGTCCCCTGCTGTCATCAATGGCTCAGTGGTTTATTCACTCTCATTCTCCTGACTTGCTGAAAACCCACTGCACAGTAGGTGTGGCTCTGTGTGCCCAGAACCACATCTGGAGAACCATGTGTCCCTACCAAGGACACATCAGGTAAATCTCTACCCTCACAGAACTGACCTTCAAACAGGACAGACAGGGAAATCTAGAGCAGTTCAGCAGCCAGGCCAGGGAGTAATATGTGTTATGGAGACAAGAAGGCTAGAACAAGTGTAAACACAAGATGGTGGCCTCCAACCTGGCTGGCTGGCATGGGACTGATGGCAGAGGCTCCTCCGAGCAAAGACAAGGAGGGAGAGCAAAGGCCTGAGGTTCTGGACAAACCAGACCCACAGGTCACTCACCATGGTGGCGACTCGTGGCTCCCAGGCTCTGGATCACTGGTGGCCAGAGCAGCTGGAAGGCAAGTCTAAAGACCCCAGCCCCATTTTAGACTTGATGGCAAGCTTAAGCTGGGGGCTTTTGAAGGAACATCATCAGGGTGGCTGTAGGCTGTGAGAGAGCAGAGTTTGGGGATGTGTGTGGTAGGCACAGCTTACACAGGTAGACTTGGAGGAGAAGACAGGAATCCCATTAGGAGGTGTTTTAAAGCTGGGGGCAGGCAGGGCGGGCGGGCCTGTAAATCAGCAGTTAGAAAGGGCCAACGCTGCACATGCAGACACATGGCTATTGTCAGGATCCAGGTGGCTGGGGAAGCCTCAAAGCCTAGGTTAGAACATCTGGAGAGGAATCTGGGGCTCACTGCCCAACATAACCCCATCTCAGGGCTCTCTCGTGACAGCCTGCCCTTTTACTGCAGCTCTACAAATGAGGGATTGGGCCTCTGGATTTACAGTCCCAAGAAATTCCTGCCAGCTTCCTCTCCTGGCCACTCCTCCCCAAACCTAATGCTTGGCACCTTCTGTGACATTTGTCAGTGCAGGGGGGAGTGCTGATTGCTGATATTAAGCTCAGTTCTATTACCCTTTCCTTTCCCAAAGAGAGCCCCCTGTGGTGGGGCTGGGGAGGTGCAGGCTCCTCTAAGTCCCAGAGCAGGCCTCCCTTCAACTGTGCCTCCCAGGAACCTGCAGTAGTTCCCAGCGCCAAGCCCTCATCCTGCTAATTCTGTCATGATCTGTCTGTGCCCATCCTTTGTACCCATCTTCTTTCCAATAGGTGACCTGCCTCACCCAAGCCCAGCCTCACTTCCCATCCCTTCCTAAGTCTCACCTCCCTAAGATGCCTTCTCTGACCTCTTGGCCCCCTTCACTAGCCAACTGATACTTTTACCTGGTCCTCCCCAGCCCTGATGGTGTGTGGTGAGCTAACCTAACCTGCTGTATCATCTCACCAACGTCATCATCTTCAGCTTGTTTTCATCTTGCTGCCCTCATCCCCTTGTCCCCTTTGTCTCCTATTTACATGCTGTTTACACTCCATGTGTCACCGTCAAAGCTCTTCCCAAGCCTCGGAGCTCTGGGGGCTGGAGGCCTAAGCCCTGCTCTGCATTAGGGCGCTATATGTGAACAAGACCACTTGCAGGAGGAAGGGCTTATTTGGCTTCTGGTTCCAGAGGGAGAGGAGTCCATGATGGCAGAGTGTTGGCATGGAGCAGGAGCAGAGGCTGAGAGCATGTTTCTGGAATCCTAAGCAGGAAGCAGACAACTGGAAACCAAAACGACCAGTCTTTTTTAACTCTCAAAGCTTGCTTTCATCTGGGCAGTGATGGTGCACACCTTTAACCCCAGCAATTGGGAGGCAGAAACAATGGGATCTCTTCTGAGTTTGAGGCCAGCCTGATCTACACTGTGAGTTCCAGGACAGCCAGGGCTACACAGAGAAACTCTGCTTGAGAACAAAACAAAGCAAAAACAAAAAGCTTGCTTCCAATGACACACCTCCTCCAACAAGACCACACCTCCTAAGTCTTCCCACACAGGTCCACCAGCTGGTGCTTAATTGTTAAAATGCCTGAGATTGTGGGGAATATCTCTTTCAAACCACCACAGACACCCAGGGAAGTTATTATAGACAGGGGTCCCCTGAGGTCCACCCAGACCTCTTGATCTGGAGTTGATGCAGATGGCCAAGAATGCATGATTAAGGAGGCCCAGTCACTGTGTGTGCGTGCGTGCGTGCGTGCGTGCGTGCGTGCGTGCGTGCGTGTGTGTGTGTGTGTGTGTGTGTGTGTGTGTGTGTGTGTGTGTAGGCCAGAGGACAGCCTTGGGTGCCATTAACCCAGGTCACTCACCTTGTATTTTGAGACATTGTCCTGAAGCTTGCTGAGTAGGTTAGTCAGGCTGGCCAGACCCAGGTGCTGTCTGCCTCCTCAGAATTAGCATTTTATAGCATACACCACCACTTTAGTTTTTAATTAACAAAACTTTTGGTTCTGAGGATTGAGTTCAGGTCCTTATGCATGAGATGCAAGCACTTTACCAGTGAGCTATTCCTTAGTTACCTCAGCCACGTCATAATAATTGTTCAGGTTGGGACTCTGCCCCAAATCAGGCGCACGCCAGAGGAGAACAGGTGTCCGTCTCACCTTTCCTTACACAGATGCAAGGCTAATGGCCTCCCCCTGCCTGTCTAGACCCCGGAACAGCTCTGGCGAGGCTCTCTCCTCTGCTGACTGAGCTGAATATGCCTCCCTGATGTTCATAGTGGGCCCAGGCAGGGTAGGACAGAGGACTCACTTGGCATTCAGGAGATCTCTCCCAGCTCAGAGCCTAGGGAGGACCCAT